TGGTAAGATCACGCACCGAACAGACTCCTAATTACCTAACAAATAAAATGCTTTTGGGATTCTCTGAATCTTACTTTAGATTTATATATTTATACTTACGTTACCATTACCTTCTTGAAACGTTACCACAATACCTTAACCGATTTATATTTATACTTACGTTACCATTACCTTCTTGAAACGTTACCACAACTTCTTTACCTTCATGATAAAAAGTAATCCCAAACTCGATGTAATCTCGTATGAGAATACTTTAATTATCAATTACCTCTTAATATCTATAGGAGAATGGGATGGGGTTTTTAATTTTATTTCAATGTCTCATATATAAAGAAAAATGTATTAGATTTCTTCAGAGATTGATCTTCGATGTCATCATGCAATGCACAGCTACCTCATGTCTGGTTTTCTGAAATAAATAACAAAAAATAATTATATTACGTAATAATACGTATTATATAATAAAATTAATAACACTCTAATAAAATTAATGACCTTGCTACTACATAAAGAAAAATCCATAAGGGGTTATTTTTTGCGACCATGCGTGATGTAGTAATTCATTAAAAATGTTGAATAATCTTTGATAAAAGATATAATTAAAATGAATAACAGTATTTCTCTACATTAAAGAATATTATCTGTTTTCATGAAAAACAAAAAAATACTATATTTTACTAATCTTAGAGAAAAATGCATAAAAATACATTTAACTTTCAAATCTAATGTTTTTCTTGTTTTACTGATGTCAATTATCATAGACATTAATTATAATTTGTGTGAACTATGATTTTGATAATAAGTCTTACTTTATAAAATCAGGCTGACATGGATTTTTAAACTAAATTAAAATCATGTACTCACAAAGACATTGTATTGGCTTCACAATACGTAAGTACATATAGTTTGTGAATTATTAAAAATGTATAATTTTGGAGAATTTATCCTTTATATTTTTTCTATAAAACGGTATATGAAAATTTAATTTATAATTAAAAACCAAATTTTGGATTTGCTTTGTGACACCTTCGTCATTTCAGATAATACACAATACGAAGGCTTTAACTCTTATCTTAGAATCTAAGCAATGTATTTGATTTTGCCTAATATATTTTTATATATTTTACTTGAATCTAAATTAAGTATTTCATAACATATTAGTAATTTATTTAGAAATATAATCATTACTTACTTGATCTTCTTTTTTCAACAGTTTTAGACCACTTAGTGATGATTTCTTGAATTCACAAGTAAAATTTTTATATTTACTAAACAGTTAAAGTTAGCTATTGTCGCTCGAGTGTCTTTGCAAATGAAGTAATACGTGGGAATCACTGTGGGAATAGAAACACGAACCCGATGGAGTTCGGTTGCACTTACGATAGTCCTAGAGCAACACATCAAAGTTCGCTTTAATACCGGCTTAGTATTTTATCTACATTAGAGTTACAGTTTATTATCAAATAATGATTCATTTCATTTGATTAGTACAGTAACTTATTAATTTGAAATAGTAAAAAATAATATTTAAATGTTGTATGAATACTATATTTAGTTATTTAATTTCAATATAAGTATTCACATGTCACCTCGACTAATTGTATGAATTACTTTATTTCTAATTCCGGAAATATTATTTTGTGTACTCCAGTATCACATTTTACATGAAATATTTAATCCAGCTCTAAGACTTTAAAAGAGATGCACAGAATTTATCGATTCTTCTGAAAATGGATTAACTCGAGATGTATCGATTCATATCATTATGAATATGATTTTGGTTGATCAACGAAGCTTATATACGTAAAATATTATTCATTTATTAATTGCTAAAGTAATATAGAGATGAAAATAACAATTATCTACATATAAATAAAATAAATTGTAGGTACATTATAAGTATATATACCTAAACCAGTGATAACATTATTTTGTAAAATTATTCTACCTTTAATGCAATTTGCAATTAAATTGTTAGTACAAAGTAGCAGCTCTCTACTGCATACTCATTCAATGATATTGATTGCTAAAATTTAGACAATTCTCTAGTAGCACATCGATTATAATTTTTATAACTACTTATTATAACTCGAACATCTCTACGGATACAAATAGCAAATGCAGCAAATTATTCGTTAATATCGTTAAATATCATCAACATTATGCGCTCACATGCAGAATGTCCTATGTCATATTAATCAACAAGGGATCATTTTATTGTATTCTAGTTGTTAAAGTTAAAAATTAAATGGAAGAAAATTCTAACATTCTAATTTTTATTATATTATTATTTCGTTTGGCAAACCGACATGTTTACGCTAAAAATATAATAATTTATCCTTGGTTCGCTTGTATGATTTAAGTTCAACATTTAATTGAACATTATATATGCTTATCAATAGACTAAATCAATATAGGTATTTACGATTGCAGTAGTAAGTAAAACAGATGAGTTAAAAGTTCTATAAAATTTCAATATTTTATTTTTAATCACCATTACAATCAATTAAACTTAATAAATATGTTGTGCAATAAAGCATTCGCGCTTGACCAGTTAGGTGTTTATTTTGATGACAACAACGATTTTCTTGCATAAAAACTCGGTGATCAAAGAAAATTATTCATTTTCTGAAATTTATAGATTGGTAATCTACCTATCTGCATTGGTCAACTTAATATATAATTTTTTTTTTTTTAAACTCACACGATTTGTATACATTATAATTATATGCAATCGGGTCTTGTTCGTGCATTTTTTAAAACAATTAATTTACCTCGACGTTTCGGCTACGTTACAGCAGCCGTGGTCACGAGGAGACTGGAGAACTGGCAGGTGTCGTCTTCTGATTTTAGTTGAGGGTAATCCGGTAATAATGTTTTTAACTGATTTTCAGATGTACCCTCCACTTGATTTTATTATACGTAAAGGTGGCGACACACTGCACTTACGGTATCCGAGAATATTGTTCGTGGTTGTTTGCGATCGCGACACTTATACATTTTTATAACCGGATTCCACGTTGGTGAGAGTTTATATCCACTTTCCCGGTTGAAATTGTTGTGTTTTTTGATTTCAACCGCTTCACGAACAATCCTTGGATAGTAATGTCGTTCAGTGGAAAGGACATGAGGTGTATGTAACTCGATCCAGTGGTTTGATCCAGATGATAATAAGTGCTCTGCAATCGCGGACTTCTCCACTTGACGATTTTTGACCGCTGCTATGTGTTCTCTTACACGTTCGGCGATAGTCCGCTTCGTTTGTCCGATATATGAACTATAGATTACCAGTCACATGGGATCCGTATGTGGAAACGGTATGTAGACGATGTGTTCTGTATCCTGAAGGGCGACAAACCGGAGATTGAGCAGTTCCTTACACACGTCAATAATATCCATCCAAATCTCAAGTTCACCTATGAGTTAGAGAGTGACAAAACCTTACCCTTTCTGGACGTTAAAGTCATGGCGCAAGCTGATGGGTCCCTGAAACACACTGTCTACAGGAAACCAACACACACAGACAAGTACCTCCACGCTTCATCTCATCATCATCCTCAACACCTACGTTCTGTGGAGACAACTCTTATTAACAGGGCTAACGCATTATGTAATACTGACTTCTTAGCAGATGAGTTGTCCCATGTACAGGACGTGCTAAGGAAAAATGGATACAGCGCAAGGAGGTCATACCCTATCCGAAGGTGTAAGGAAAGACTACCTAAGGTTCCCAGGCAACGGGCATTTTTAGGCTATGTTAAGGGGGTAACGGACAAAATTGGTTCCATTTTGAGGAAAAATTTTTCTATAGACACCATTTTTACTCCTTTATCAAAAATGTCACACCAATTGCGATCACCAAAGGATAGTATTCCTTACCAAAAACCTGGCGTTTATAAAATTGACTGCAGCTGCGGTAGTTCATATATCGGACAAACGAAGCGGACTATCGCCGAACGTGTAAGAGAACACATAGCAGCGGTCAAAAATCGTCAAGTGGAGAAGTCCGCGATTGCAGAGCACTTATTATCATCTGGATCAAACCACTGGATCGAGTTACATACACCTCATGTCCTTTCCACTGAACGACATTACTATCCAAGGATTGTTCGTGAAGCGGTTGAAATCAAAAAACACAACAATTTCAACCGGGAAAGTGGATATAAACTCTCACCAACGTGGAATCCGGTTATAAAAATGTATAAGTGTCGCGATCGCAAACAACCACGAACAATATTCTCGGATACCGTAAGTGCAGTGTGTCGCCACCTTTACGTATAATAAAATCAAGTGGAGGGTACATCTGAAAATCAGTTAAAAACATTATTACCGGATTACCCTCAACTAAAATCAGAAGACGACACCTGCCAGTTCTCCAGTCTCCTCGTGACCACGGCTGCTGTAACGTAGCCGAAACGTCGAGGTAAATTAATTGTTTTAAAAAATGCACGAACAAGACCCGATTGCATATAATTATAAAATAATATATAAATTATTATATATATTTTTTTTAAAGTGACGCAAATACAAAGTATAGAAAATGTACGTAAGTAAAATTTATTTCTTTACAAGGCCTTCAACTGTATCTCCAATGTTTTTAGAGTGATATTTAAATAAGTGTTTATTCCAACAGGTCTGACTCTGAGTTTGAAGCGTCTGTTATCTCCGAAGTTCCAATTAAAAAAAAGAAGACATCGTCTGCTGGTGTTGCGACAGGCAAGCGCAAACCCATAGGTACAACAGTTGCCACTGTTGACACCAAGAAATATCGCTCCAAACAAGCCCCATATGAATTTTCTCCATCTCACAAGTAAGTTATTTACCTATCATTGAATATTACTTTGTCAGTACTTACATTATGTTAACCAGACATTTATCGATCTAAATATAACATACTCCTTATTAAACTAAATTTTAAAGATAGTGTTATAATAATAGATTTTTTTTTTACAGTACATATACATAGTTTTTTGATCTCATAGTGTTTTTATTATAATGTTATGTACGGTCATTTAATTAATTTAATAAAATGTTTGTTTCTACTTTGCAGAGTGAACAAGAAACGGGACTTGTTCAATATATTGCAGTCGGAAGAGATAGCTAGCGGCCGACCGAGGAGTGGTGGAATCGTGACGTCCAGTTTCGCCAGCCGTGTATCAACGGGTACAAGTCGTCGCACCGCAGCTACTACAGGCGAGTTTTTTGTAGACCTTAAAGTCTACAAAACAGGAGACTACACTTCCAATCCCGTCGATGTGCGCTACAAGACAGCATTAGTAACAGTTAAGTTACAGTGTGAAGACTCGTCACCATCGTGGGACGCTCTTCAAACCTTCCTAGGACAAGCTTGGACGGTATTTGAAGACTCAGAACCTATACATTATTCAGATAAAATTAATTTTAAGTAAATTGGGTACCAAATAATTGTTTATTTCATTAAACAATCAATTTATGTAAGTGCTTTCTATTTTTATTCCATTATTTAATGACATTCGTTTTTTATCGTAGCAATTTATTACTATAAGATGCCTTTCTGTGCAACGTGTAACACAGCTGTTCTTAATAAATCATGGGTGGGTCATTTGAGAAGTAATTTGCATAAGCAAAATAGTCGCTCAATGAAACATAGCGAAGGTGTAGAAATCATAACATCTGCATTTCGTAATCGTATAATAACATATAGAATAGTTGCTATAAATGATTTTCAGTCGGGTTCTGTAGATGGATTTTTTTATGAGATTCGTGATAAGTTAAAAATGATTTTAGATCAATTTCTCAAATCGCATACATGTGTTAAAGTAAATTTAGAACTATTCGCAACGTTTTTAAAATTTAAAGATAATTCTCAAGAAATTAAATCTTTTGGAACAAAAAACAAAATATTATATTCTAATTATGAATTTAACAATTTTTACATTGAAGTAGTAAATTACCTCAAAAAATGTATTGAGGAATTCGAGGATCGCGATAGTGGGTGGACATTTTTGAACAATTTGCATATGGAGGTCAATCTCAATAAATATCAACCACTTGGTGGCTCAAGCTTTATACCGTTACCTAAATCGATTCAATTAAAAAAGTCATGTTTGAATATAGTTAATAAAGACCAGTGCTGTTTCTTATGGTGTGTGACCGCTGCCCTTTATCCCGCGAAATATCATCCTGAAAGAGTTTCGTCATATCCTCATTATAAAGAACTGTTCGATGTTAGTGGAATGCGTTTTCCTGTTTCTTTACATGATATAAAACTCTTTGAAAATAATAACCCAAATATAAAATTTGTACTATATGGTTTAAAAAATAACAAATCTATTATAGGGCCTTTATACAAATCAGATATGGATAAAAAACATAATAACAAAATTATACACTTGCTTTTGCTTGAAAATAATAATAATACTCATTATTGTTTGATTAAAGACTGTTCTAGACTTTTCAGAAGTCAAGTTACTTCTCATCATGGGAAGTTGTATTTTTGTGATTTGTGTCTCGTATTTTTTAATACCGCAGTGGAAGTTGATAGCCATTTGTGTAGCGGTGTAGTAACTAAATTACCTGATAAGGGATCGGTAATTAAATTTAAAAATTATAATCACAAACAAAACGTACCATTTTGCATCTATGCCGATTTTGAATCGATGTTAGAAAGTAATTCTGGTAGTAGTTGTTCAAAAAGTCAGAACACCACCATTTTGCATCATCATGTGCCTATCGCTTTTGCTTATTATATTGTTTGTCGTGATGACCCGAGTCATAATCATTTTGTGTCACATCGTGGGCCTGATTGTGTTGACAAATTTGTTAATTTAATAATGAAAGACGTGCAAAACATTTATGAAAAATTGAATTTTAATACGCGCATGATATTTACCGAGGAAGATAGAATTGATTTTATAAACGTTAAAGTCTGTCATATCTGTCGAAATTTCCTTTTTTCAGATAGAGTGCGTGATCACTGTCACGTGACAGGCCGGTACCGCGGGGCAGCGCATTCTTATTGTAACTTACAATTTAAACGACCTTCATTCGTTCCTATATTTTTCCATAATTTAGCTGGATATGATTGCCATTTGTTTATAAAAGCTTTGGGGGAGGTGCCTGGTGACATAAAAATAATTCCTAAAACAAAAGAAAACTATATTTCTTTTACAAAATTCGTACCAGTATCTAATAAAAAGTTTTTTCAACTTCGTTTTGTTGATTCGTTTAAGTTCTTAGGGACCAGTCTAAATAAATTAGTTAATACTTTAAAACCTGAAGAATTTAAACATTTAAAAAGTTTTTATCCGAGTGATCATAAATTTAAATTACTTACTCGCAAGGGTATATATCCTTATGAATATATGAACTCATGGGAACGCTATCAAGAACAATCCCTTCCAAAAAAGGAATGTTTTTATAGTTCACTCACTGATGAAGTCATTTCTGTTGAAGATTATCAACATGCGCAATTAATTTGGTCAATATTTGAAATACAAGATTTAGGATGTTATACTGATTTGTATTTGAAAACCGATGTCCTTTTATTAGCAGACATTTTCGAAAATTTTAGACGCACTTGTAAACAACATTATCAGCTAGATCCTGCCTTTTATTTAACTGCACCTAGTTTGTCGTTTGACGCGATGTTATTGAAAACCGGGGTACAACTCGAACTTATTAATGATCTATCTATGGTGCGAATGTTGCAAAGCGGTATTAGAGGTGGTGTGTGCTTATGCTCTCATAGATATGCTAAAGCAAACAATAAATATTTAACAGATTACGATTTGTCTAAACCAAGTTCTTATATAACTTATATTGATTGCAATAATCTTTATGGCCATAGTATGTGTCAATATTTACCTTTATCAAATTTTAGATTTTTAGAAAAACATGAAATAGAAATCCTCGATGTGACTAAAATTCCAACAGATTCACAATATGGTTTCATATTAGAAGTGGACTTGGAATATCCAAAAAAGTTACATCACTTGCATAATGATTTACCTTTTTGTCCAGAAAAATGTATTCCTCCTGGAGGGAAAAATAGTAAACTAGTTCCAAATTTGTATGATAAATTCACTTACGTTATACATTACGTGTATTTAAAAACTTGTATAAAACATGGGTTAATATTAAAAAAAATTCACCGAGTCATTACTTTTAAACAAAGCCCATATTTGAAACAGTATATTGATTTGAATACAGCTTTACGACAAAAGAGTACATCAGTATTTGAACAAGATTTCTTCAAACTTTTAAATAATAGTGTGTTTGGAAAAACATTAGAAAATAATGAAAATCGAGTTAAGGTTGATCTAGTCAATCGATGGTATGATAAAAACAATATCACTAAAAGACGAAAAAGTGCTCAGCAGCTCATTGCTCGTCCAAATTTTCATAGTGCAGCAGTATTTAGTGAAAATTTAGTCGCGATTCAATTAAAACCTGATGAAATTATTTTGAACAAACCAATATATATTGGTTTTACTGTTTTGGAGTTATCAAAGAACTACATGTACGATTTCCACTATTCTGTCATTAAGCCTTTTTACAACAATGATGTACAGATGTGTTACACGGACACAGATAGTTTTGTCTATCATGTAAATACCACAGATTTTTATTATGATATAAAAAAATATTTTTTAACATATTTTGATACTAGTAATTTTCCTAAGGTGAATGAATATGGTCTACCAATTCAAAATAAAAAAGTACCTGGTTTATTTAAAGACGAAATGGGGGGCAAAATTATATCAGAATTTGTTGGACTTCGTTCAAAGTTATATTGCATTAAAACTCTAGACACTACAATAAAAAAAGCGAAAGGTGTCAAAAGAAATATTATTAACAAACTGAATATCACAGATTATGAAAATACATTATTTAAAGGTGATACAGTGTGCAAAACAAATATTTTATTTAAATCAATTAAGCACGAAATCTTCACTTGTGCTGTCAATAAAATAGCTCTGTCAGGTGATGATGATAAGAGGTTGATATTGAATGATAAAGTTTCTACTAAGGCATGGGGACATACTAGTATATTTAATTTTTAATTAATTTTGTATAATTAATATAGTAATTTAACTACATAGTGTTAGTTCATTTAAACTGATTATTTGTCATTATGTGTATCAAATAATATTTAGATAATGTTCTTTTAGTTATCGAAAAATGTTAACATTAATAATTAAAAATAATATTAATTTAATTCTGGTTACTATATAATATAATAATAGGCTAAATGGAATACATGTATTGTAATGGAATAAAAATAATAAATAAAATTTCATTTGTTTGTTTTAGCGCTCTTAACAATCCTTTTAAAATCGTTTAAACGTCTACATATGTACTAAAATTATGAATTAACACAAAATCAAGTTCAAACCTGTTATCGAAGTGCAGGTGAATATTAGTAATATGAGATGTCAATGCCATTTTCCATGGTAATGGGTGTGAGTGAAAGAACATGAGACAACAAGCTCAAACTGGAAAGTAAGCAAAAAGACAATACAGTGGATTATAATTTATTATTCATTTACATTTATTGTTTTGCTATCATTAGACTGGGTCACAGCTACAGCTAGTACAATCAAATAGCAATGGTACGTATGTATTTAGTTAATTTCAAATATTTTAATTTAATTTATTATCTTTTTTGATCAAATATACATTTAATTATTTTTTATCTTGTTTCAGAATATAGAACAAGAAAATATCACCACTGTTTCGGACGAAGAGTGTGCTCATTTTGACCCTCACCAATATTTGGATTCATTTCAATGTGCTCAAGATCCCCTAGAAGGGTTTACGGAAGATATTTTAAAAATGCAGAGCTCATCTAAGTCATTAAAAAGGACTCGACACAATCGCAAAATAAAGTGCAAGAGGAGGCAGAGCATTCAATTAGATCAAACAGCAAAGTACTGTGGCCCAGTTTCATTCGTCATCAATAGCGCACCAACAAAAGGACTTCGCCTAATCAGGATACAAGTTATCGAATTGGATCGATTACAACGAATTAGTGATAGTGTAAATGATAACAGTGTTCTGTTAAATTCTCAATATGTAGTGAAGGATGTTGGTGATGAAATAATGGATCAGACTGAGAAAATTATCAATAATATATCAAAAAAAATATGTGGTTATAGTTACACTAATTGTTTTTAGAAGTGTGGTTATGTTAACAAGTAAGTAATATATATATATATATATATATATATATATATATATATATATATATTTGTGAAATTTTATTTGATTTTCTAATTAAAACATAGAAACAATAATTAAACATAGACAAGAGTAAATTTACTTTATTAATGTGAATTACATTAAAATTATAGATTTATCTTAAATTTTATTGATTGTATTAATATGTAGACTGATGTGTTATTTAATTTAATTACAATAAACAGTTATTATGTAAAATACTATTTTGAAAATGGAGAACCGATATATATAAGTAGATAATTTATTTAGGTAGGTTAAATCTTAAATAGAATAAGTAATTAAGTAATTAGCGCCATGACTTTAACGTCCAGAAAGGGTAAGGTTTTGTCACTCTCTAACTCATAGGTGAACTTGAGATTTGGATGGATATTATTGACGTGTGTAAGGAACTGCTCAATCTCCGGTTTGTCGCCCTTCAGGATACAGAACACATCGTCTACATACCGTTTCCACATACGGATCCCATGTGACTGGTAATCTATAGTTCATATATCGGACAAACGAAGCGGACTATCGCCGAACGTGTAAGAGAACACATAGCAGCGGTCAAAAATCGTCAAGTGGAGAAGTCCGCGATTGCAGAGCACTTATTATCATCTGGATCAAACCACTGGATCGAGTTACATACACCTCATGTCCTTTCCACTGAACGACATTACTATCCAAGGATTGTTCGTGAAGCGGTTGAAATCAAAAAACACAACAATTTCAACCGGGAAAGTGGATATAAACTCTCACCAACGTGGAATCCGGTTATAAAAATGTATAAGTGTCGCGATCGCAAACAACCACGAACAATATTCTCGGATACCGTAAGTGCAGTGTGTCGCCACCTTTACGTATAATAAAATCAAGTGGAGGGTACATCTGAAAATCAGTTAAAAACATTATTACCGGATTACCCTCAACTAAAATCAGAAGACGACACCTGCCAGTTCTCCAGTCTCCTCGTGACCACGGCTGCTGTAACGTAGCCGAAACGTCGAGGTAAATTAATTGTTTTAAAAAATGCACGAACAAGACCCGATTGCATATAATTATAAAATAATATATAAATTATTATATATATTTTTTTTTAAAGTGACGCAAATACAAAGTATAGAAAATGTACGTAAGTAAAATTTATTTCTTTACAAGGCTTTCAACTGTATCTCCAATGTTTTTAGAGTGATATTTAAATAAGTGTTATTCCAACAGGTCTGACTCTGAGTTTGAAGCGTCTGTTATCTCCGAAGTTCCAATTAAAAAAAAGAAGACATCGTCTGCTGGTGTTGCGACAGGCAAGCGCAAAACCATAGGTACAACAGTTGCCACTGTTGACACCAAGAAATATCGCTCCAAACAAGCCCCATATGAATTTTCTCCACCTCACAAGTAAGTTATTTACCTATCATTGAATATTACTTTGTCAGTACTTGCATTATGTTAACCAGACATTTATCGATCTAAATATAACATACTCCTTATTAAACTAAATTTTAAAGATATAGTGTTATAATAATAGATTTTTTTTTTACAGTACATATACATAGTTTTTTGATCTCATTGTGTTTTTATTATAATGTTATGTACGGTCATTTAATTAATTTAATAAAATGTTTGTTTCTACTTTGCAGAGTGAACAAGAAACGGGACTTGTTCAATATATTGCAGTCGGAAGAGATAGCTAGCGGCCGACCGAGGAGTGGTGGAATCGTGACGTCCAGTTTCGCCAGCCGTGTATCAACGGGTACAAGTCGTCGCACCGCAGCTACTACAGGCGAGTTTTTTGTAGACCTTAAAGTCTACAAAACAGGAGACTACACTTCCAATCCCGTCGATGTGCGCTACAAGACAGCATTAGTAACAGTTAAGTTACAGTGTGAAGACTCGTCACCATCGTGGGACGCTCTTCAAACCTTCCTAGGACAAGCTTGGACGGTATTTGAAGACTCAGAACCTATACATTATTCAGATAAAATTAATTTTAAGTAAATTGGGTACCAAATAATTGTTTATTTCATTAAACAATCAATTTATGTAAGTGCTTTCTATTTTTATTCCATTATTTAATGACATTCGTTTTTTATCGTAGCAATTTATTACTATAAGATGCCTTTCTGTGCAACGTGTAACACAGCTGTTCTTAATAAATCATGGGTGGGTCATTTGAGAAGTAATTTGCATAAGCAAAATAGTCGCTCAATGAAACATAGCGAAGGTGTAGAAATCATAACATCTGCATTTCGTAATCGTATAATAACATATAGAATAGTTGCTATAAATGATTTTCAGTCGGGTTCTGTAGATGGATTTTTTTATGAGATTCGTGATAAGTTAAAAATGATTTTAGATCAATTTCTCAAATCGCATACATGTGTTAAAGTAAATTTAGAACTATTCGCAACGTTTTTAAAATTTAAAGATAATTCTCAAGAAATTAAATCTTTTGGAACAAAAAACAAAATATTATATTCTAATTATGAATTTAACAATTTTTACATTGAAGTAGTAAATTACCTCAAAAAATGTATTGAGGAATTCGAGGATCGCGATAGTGGGTGGACATTTTTGAACAATTTGCATATGGAGGTCAATCTCAATAAATATCAACCACTTGGTGGCTCAAGCTTTATACCGTTACCTAAATCGATTCAATTAAAAAAGTCATGTTTGAATATAGTTAATAAAGACCAGTGCTGTTTCTTATGGTGTGTGACCGCTGCCCTTTATCCCGCGAAATATCATCCTGAAAGAGTTTCGTCATATCCTCATTATAAAGAACTGTTCGATGTTAGTGGAATGCGTTTTCCTGTTTCTTTACATGATATAAAACTCTTTGAAAATAATAACCCAAATATAAAATTTGTACTATATGGTTTAAAAAATAACAAATCTATTATAGGGCCTTTATACAAATCAGATATGGATAAAAAACATAATAACAAAATTATACACTTGCTTTTGCTTGAAAATAATAATAATACTCATTATTGTTTGATTAAAGACTGTTCTAGACTTTTCAGAAGTCAAGTTACTTCTCATCATGGGAAGTTGTATTTTTGTGATTTGTGTCTCGTATTTTTTAATACCGCAGTGGAAGTTGATAGCCATTTGTGTAGCGGTGTAGTAACTAAATTACCTGATAAGGGATCGGTAATTAAATTTAAAAATTATAATCACAAACAAAACGTACCATTTTGCATCTATGCCGATTTTGAATCGATGTTAGAAAGTAATTCTGGTAGTAGTTGTTCAAAAAGTCAGAACACCACCATTTTGCATCATCATGTGCCTATCGCTTTTGCTTATTATATTGTTTGTCGTGATGACCCGAGTCATAATCATTTTGTGTCACATCGTGGGCCTGATTGTGTTGACAAATTTGTTAATTTAATAATGAAAGACGTGCAAAACATTTATGAAAAATTGAATTTTAATACGCGCATGATATTTACCGAGGAAGATAGAATTGATTTTATAAACGTTAAAGTCTGTCATATCTGTCGAAATTTCCTTTTTTCAGATAGAGTGCGTGATCACTGTCACGTGACAGGCCGGTACCGCGGGGCAGCGCATTCTTATTGTAACTTACAATTTAAACGACCTTCATTCGTTCCTATATTTTTCCATAATTTAGCTGGATATGATTGCCATTTGTTTATAAAAGCTTTGGGGGAGGTGCCTGGTGACATAAAAATAATTCCTAAAACAAAAGAAAACTATATTTCTTTTACAAAATTCGTACCAGTATCTAATAAAAAGTTTTTTCAACTTCGTTTTGTTGATTCGTTTAAGTTCTTAGGGACCAGTCTAAATAAATTAGTTAATACTTTAAAACCTGAAGAATTTAAACATTTAAAAAGTTTTTATCCGAGTGATCATAAATTTAAATTACTTACTCGCAAGGGTATATATCCTTATGAATATATGAACTCATGGGAACGCTATCAAGAACAATCCCTTCCAAAAAAGGAATGTTTTTATAGTTCACTCACTGATGAAGTCATTTCTGTTGAAGATTATCAACATGCGCAATTAATTTGGTCAATATTTGAAATACAAGATTTAGGATGTTATACTGATTTGTATTTGAAAACCGATGTCCTTTTATTAGCAGACATTTTCGAAAATTTTAGACGCACTTGTAAACAACATTATCAGCTAGATCCTGCCTTTTATTTAACTGCACCTAGTTTGTCGTTTGACGCGATGTTATTGAAAACCGGGGTACAACTCGAACTTATTAATGATCTATCTATGGTGCGAATGTTGCAAAGCGGTATTAGAGGTGGTGTGTGCTTATGCTCTCATAGATATGCTAAAGCAAACAATAAATATTTAACAGATTACGATTTGTCTAAACCAAGTTCTTATATAACTTATATTGATTGCAATAATCTTTATGGCCATAGTATGTGTCAATATTTACCTTTATCAAATTTTAGATTTTTAGAAAAACATGAAATAGAAATCCTCGATGTGACTAAAATTCCAACAGATTCACAATATGGTTTCATATTAGAAGTGGACTTGGAATATCCAAAAAAGTTACATCACTTGCATAATGATTTACCTTTTTGTCCAGAAAAATGTATTCCTCCTGGAGGGAAAAATAGTAAACTAGTTCCAAATTTGTATGATAAATTCACTTACGTTATACATTACGTGTATTTAAAAACTTGTATAAAACATGGGTTAATATTAAAAAAAATTCACCGAGTCATTACTTTTAAACAAAGCCCATATTTGAAACAGTATATTGATTTGAATACAGCTTTACGACAAAAGAGTACATCAGTATTTGAACAAGATTTCTTCAAACTTTTAAATAATAGTGTGTTTGGAAAAACATTAGAAAATAATGAAAATCGAGTTAAGGTTGATCTAGTCAATCGATGGTATGATAAAAACAATATCACTAAAAGACGAAAAAGTGCTCAGCAGCTCATTGCTCGTCCAAATTTTCATAGTGCAGCAGTATTTAGTGAAAATTTAGTCGCGATTCAATTAAAACCTGATGAAATTATTTTGAACAAACCAATATATATTGGTTTTACTGTTTTGGAGTTATCAAAGAACTACATGTACGATTTCCACTATTCTGTCATTAAGCCTTTTTACAACAATGATGTACAGATGTGTTACACGGACACAGATAGTTTTGTCTATCATGTAAATACCACAGATTTTTATTATGATATAAAAAAATATTTTTTAACATATTTTGATACTAGTAATTTTCCTAAGGTGAATGAATATGGTCTACCAATTCAAAATAAAAAAGTACCTGGTTTATTTAAAGACGAAATGGGGGGCAAAATTATATCAGAATTTGTTGGACTTCGTTCAAAGTTATATTGCATTAAAACTCTAGACACTACAATAAAAAAAGCGAAAGGTGTCAAAAGAAATATTATTAACAAACTGAATATCACAGATTATGAAAATACATTATTTAAAGGTGATACAGTGTGCAAAACAAATATTTTATTTAAATCAATTAAGCACGAAATCTTCACTTGTGCTGTCAATAAAATAGCTCTGTCAGGTGATGATGATAAGAGGTTGATATTGAATGATAAAGTTTCTACTAAGGCATGGGGACATACTAGTATATTTAATTTTTAATTAATTTTGTATAATTAATATAGTAATTTAACTACATAGTGTTAGTTCATTTAAACTGATTATTTGTCATTATGTGTATCAAATAATATTTAGATAATGTTCTTTTAGTTATCGAAAAATGTTAACATTAATAATTAAAAATAATATTAATTTAATTCTGGTTACTATATAATATAATAATAGGCTAAATGGAATACATGTATTGTAATGGAATAAAAATAATAAATAAAATTTCATTTGTTTGTTTTAGCGCTCTTAACAATCCTTTTAAAATCGTTTAAACGTCTACATATGTACTAAAATTATGAATTAACACAAAATCAAGTTCAAACCTGTTATCGAAGTGCAGGTGAATATTAGTAATATGAGATGTCAATGCCATTTTCCATGGTAATGGGTGTGAGTGAAAGAACATGAGACAACAAGCTCAAACTGGAAAGTAAGCAAAAAGACAATACAGTGGATTATAATTTATTATTCATTTACATTTATTGTTTTGCTATCATTAGACTGGGTCACAGCTACAGCTAGTACAATCAAATAGCAATGGTACGTATGTATTTAGTTAATTTCAAATATTTTAATTTAATTTATTATCTTTTTTGATCAAATATACATTTAATTATTTTTTATCTTGTTTCAGAATATAGAACAAGAAAATATCACCACTGTTTCGGACGAAGAGTGTGCTCATTTTGACCCTCACCAATATTTGGATTCATTTCAATGTGCTCAAGATCCCCTAGAAGGGTTTACGGAAGATATTTTAAAAATGCAGAGCTCATCTAAGTCATTAAAAAGGACTCGACACAATCGCAAAATAAAGTGCAAGAGGAGGCAGAGCATTCAATTAGATCAAACAGCAAAGTACTGTGGCCCAGTTTCATTCGTCATCAATAGCGCACCAACAAAAGGACTTCGCCTAATCAGGATACAAGTTATCGAATTGGATCGATTACAACGAATTAGTGATAGTGTAAATGATAACAGTGTTCTGTTAAATTCTCAATATGTAGTGAAGGATGTTGGTGATGAAATAATGGATCAGACTGAGAAAATTATCAATAATATATCAAAAAAAATATGTGGTTATAGTTACACTAATTGTTTTTAGAAGTGTGGTTATGTTAACAAGTAAGTAATATATATATATATATATATATAATATATTTGTGAAATTTTATTTGATTTTCTAATTAAAACATAGAAACAATAATTAAACATAGACAAGAGTAAATTTACTTTATTAATGTGAATTACATTAAAATTATAGATTTATCTTAAATTTTATTGATTGTATTAATATTTAGACTGATGTGTCTATTTAATTTAATTACAATAAACAGTTATTATGTAAACTTCTATTTTGAAAATGGAGAACCGATATATATAAGTAGATAATTTATTTAGGTAGGTTAAATCTTAAATAGAATAAGTAATTAAATAAAATATCATATAGAATATTATTTGAAATATTTGTAAATTAAAAATATATGAAAAATAAAATTTTATTAAAATTATCATATATTGTTTAATTTTTTCACCCTATACAAAGAGTTCTGAATAAAAAGAAAGAGTAGGTATTTTAATTAAATTCATTTATTAAAAATCTGACATAGAAATACTATTTTCTATAAACCACTTTCTAATGCATATAACATTTCTCAATGCACAACATTTCAGATGATTAAAACAATTGTAAGCGAACATATCTTTACAATAGAGTTTACTTAAAGTTTCTAAATTAGGTATACCTTTATCACTTATATCTACAACATTTTCATGACCACATATTTCTCGTACCCACTTAACTTTTTCTTCACCTTTTACTATGATTTTATACTTATTTAAATAAGGTTTTATTAGTCTTCTGAATTCTCTATAGTCAATATGACCCTCACTCCATCGGTACCCTCTATTTCTTTCTATCCACCATACATGTTTTCTTTCTTCAAGGGTCAGAGTAGAGTATGGATAAGGTGGCTTTATCAAAAATATTTGAGTATGTTCCGATGTACTTATAGCTAATTCTTTTAATATAAATTCATTTTTTACGTTTTTAAAACCTTGCACATCTACTATAATAATAGAATTCATGATATTTTACGAACTATATTACTAAGAGGTTTATATTCCACTATGCAATCATTTAAAATTAAACAATATGCTGACGTCTGGTCCGGTATCTCCTTATGACTCTCTAACTCTAAGCGAATATTAATAACGGGTCCTGTTTTTATATTATCGTTCTGTCTTGAACAATCGATTACAAATAATGGTGCATATTCTCTAAATTGTTGAGCACTTAATAAACAACTTGATTTACGTGAATAATAAGACTGTTGGAAGTTTACGGAGTTCATATATTAAAGCATAGTTATGCTTCGCGAAGTCGGTATTTTAGCTTTCATATGGATAATAAACAGAATTTAAATAAACCTTTACATCACGGAGATTACAATGATCAAATTGGGACATATCTTTTGATCCATTATTTTTTCTATTAGTTTGCAAGCCAAGAATAACATACCTAGGTTTTTCAATCTGAGTAGAAGTTTTAATTGACCATGTATGTTTAGTAGTCTTTGGTAGCATTGGGTATTCGTAAAGATCCCAGTTCCGAAACGTTAATTGAATTGGTTTATCTTTTTCCAAAATTTTAAGTAAATTGATTTTTTCTCTGTCAGATACTTTGACATGAGGAACACGCCAAATTATTTTATGTATATCAATGCTTTCTATTACTTCATCGTTGTCAAGTTTTAAAGCATTGAGGTTTGTATTGCTTCGTAATAGAACAAGCTCATGTTTACAATTTGCTATGACTTTTTTATAATCTTCAGCAAATCCTAGTACGTTACTTAATGGAATTGATGCAGAGAAGTGACCACCGATAGTATTTTTTAAACCCTGTATATTCCAACCCCATACTTCAGATATCTTCGATTCAGTTTCATTCATGGAGAGTAAAGATTTCATAGTCGTTGTTATACCAGCATTTTTCACTTTGTCTATTTCAACACCATTTAATTCATAACGTATGTCTTGAAACAAGTACATTAACGCGTTATTAGTAAATTGAAAAGATGGTACTTTTTCTTTTGTACCCTTGTCACCAAATTTGATCACATTTACCACTCCTTCAATATACAAGGTGCTTGCACTTGGAAGCACATATAAGTCTTGTTGATTTATCGGTATTCTTATTTCATCATTTCTATTGAAACTTGTTATATATGGTTTATAAGAATGAGTTTCTATGCACTCTATAGAGTTGTCATAAGAAGGCGGATTTGTTATATTTAGAATATTCATTTTAACAATCCGATTAATCTTAAAAATGCCTTATTTTGTGGAGTTAGTTTAATATTAGCACAAGAATGTGTGTTCTTGCGAACGGATCGATTACCACTAAACTTCTGACTATGAGATGAAAAGTTTTTATTGTACTCAATCATGTTTCTTTATGTGTAAGTATAAATTCACTTCTTCCCCTCGAAGATCAACAGGATTATTATAAATGTCTAATATTCTTATGGTGATACTATTGATAGTATCTCTGTTTACTGGAAAATATATAGTATTCTTCGGTATTTCTATTATTCTGTAACCCGGAGGTACTGTGGGTGCAAACTCATGTAATATGTGATTTGGTTTTCCGTTTATATAAGACCCGCTTATGATATCACATTCGACTCTCACCACAGTCGTTGATAAAATGTTTACGGGAAGAAGTGAGTCATGTAATATATGACTTTTTAGAACTTCCTTACCATAACCCAACAATTCTCCGAAGGAACCATGTTTTTCAAAATGAATATCTTTAGTACAGAATATAGTTGTCTTAAGTGTATTGTTATTGCAATATAATTTTAAATCACAATCTTTTACTTTAAACTTTAAAAAGTCGTAAAGATCTTGAAGTTCATAAGCTCCTTCAGGAATCTCGACCACTTCATTAGTACCATAGTGAAATTTATTATTAGCTTTAGTGATATTCGGTATAGAATTAAAAGTAGAGAAATGCAATAATGCACATTCATAATCACCGTCGAGATTTAAAGTCGGTGAGTAGTTTGTGGTTAATATGGATCTTTTGCCAGTTATAGACAATGTGAAAGACATCGTGAAAATGTATATAAAAAGATCAAGCCCATCAATATATACTAAATTGATCCCAAAAGTTGTGCAAAAATTTTAAACATAAATGTCCACAATTGACGCTATTATATTTTTGATATTGATTATAATTGTAATAAATATCACGATGACCGAAATATTTCAATAATTCTTTTGGTGGTTTTAAATTACCAAAACTATCAAAATATTCACAATAACTGTTTATTATTGCATACGCTACCCAATGCGTTCCATTATTATTATGATTATCTAAATTAACGATTCCACATTCTATTGGTTTTGACTTATTTGGTAATCTATCTTTCATGTAAACTCCACGAAAATGTGGTATATTTCTAGAATATTTCATTAACTCTATATTAGATAAAGCTTTATTGGGTAGCTGGGAAATTAGTTTTTTGAACTTTTTATAAATAAACCACTGCCTTTTTTATACGGTTTGATGTAAAGACCTTTTCCCAATGCAATTGCTTCCATAGTTTTATTATGACGTTCGGATTCTTTTAAATTTTGTTGTGCAGATTTATTATTAGAGCTAATGCACCTAGAGCAGACAATCCCGCAAAAATGGGTATCAGAGGTAATATTCCTCCTGTCTTTGGAATCGGTATTATTCGCGGTAGACGAAAATGACAATTTTTGGGAAAACATTTTTTAGCAGCTTCATATGCATACTTAATTGCAGCTGTTTGGCTCTTTGGTTTCATTTTTTTTATTTGAGATTGAATTTTCGATACAATGGTCTTGAATTTTTTAACTCCAGAACCTGTTTTTACTTTAGCTTTCATAACCTTACTAACTAACCATGAAGCTAGTTTTTCACCTCTTCCAGCGTCTTTCGAATGCAATCGTCTTTTAGCCATGCTGAGTAGTTCCAAGTCTGCTTTATGTCTACTATTTGAATCGGTGTTTGTGTATGCAATATCATGAAATTTGCAGGCTTCGTCTAATTTCGACCTCCGTAGCCGAGTGGGTCGCACGCCGGTTTCAAGGTGTCGCCATCTCTGAGGTCCCGGGTTCGATTCCCGGTCGGGTCAATGTAGAAAATGAACTTTTCTATATTGACTTGGGTCTGGGTGTTGTGGTACCTTCGTTGTCTCAGATACTCCATAATACGGGGGCTTTAGCTACTCATCTTGGAATCTGAGCAATGTATGTGATGTTGTTAAATAAATATATTTATCACCTCTGGCTAATCTTTGTTTTAACTTTGTCCCTGGTCCACAATAGTTATATCCTGGTAAATGTAGTTCGAACGGTAAACTGTCAATTATACTATTGACTAGTCCTCCTCCTTGCATATCTGGATATGCAATGAGTACAACATATATTAATTAACTGTTATAGTAACGGCGGTAGGTGTGGAAAAGTAAAGAAGTGTTCCTCAGTATCAAAATTTAATTTAATTAATTTGAGATATTTTACCATCTTAATTTTGAGTTGAATTAGATGCTAGGGTAGTAAATCAGCACTACTTACGTTTGTAGCATCTTAAATGTAATAACACCTTACATTTAACACCACCTGCCAGCACATCAATCACATTTCCATCACTGCAGCTTACTTCACTGAGCACTGTAAAATAACATCACTATGTCCCAATTATCTGACATTATCACGGCACAAAAGAGCTTGGAGGATTGTTTTATGAAGAAGATGCAGGACCTGGAAGCTCAAATTCAAAGTGCGGGGCCCAGCAAGGAAACAGTGGCGAAGGTAGCTGAAGAGTTCCGGACTTTCAGAGAGCTTATATTTGGTATGTTGGGTCTGCTCCGTAAACAAATCACTGAATGTTCCTCTAAAATAGATGCAATCGAAACCAGGCATCGCCGCAAGAATCTCATTTTTATGGGTGTGTCGGAGTCGGGCACTGAAGATTGTAGAGCGGTAATATGTGACATCCTCAAATCGAAGATGGGCCTCAAAGATGTCAATAAAACCACTTTGACATTGTGTCATAGACTTGGAGCAACC